TTCATTATCTTCTCTACACACATAGACTTTAGCCCAAATGTTTGGTCCTAAATATTTCCAGATTAGCATGAACCATGATATTTTTAATAGCATGTGTGCAAGAAGCAGCCTGTAATATTAACCAGATATAATAGCTGCTGAAATTCTACCTAGGCAATTTGCAATACAGGTGCAGTGAAAGAGAAAATTAGTACCTTCTTGAAGCTCCACTGTATTCTGGGCTCCAGCATCTACCACACAGTGATAGGATGAAGGGATAGGAGAGATTAAGATTTGATTCCTGCCTTTAATATTCTGGGGGTCTGCGCAACTTCATTGAAGGTGTAAAACATAAGAAGAGCAGAAGAAGGAGATGAAAAGAATCAGGGAAAACCATAGTTGTTGCTTTCTATCTAATAAAATTGTTTAAGTATTATACAGAGAGATCTTTACATGTAATTCCACGTGTAGCCAAATATTTGCCTGTATTTCTACATCCTGATTGACATTTGTAAACTTTTCACAGATCTAATAACATGTTTGGAACGAGCGAACCACTACACAAAGACTGAATACAGGTAAAGAGGGTTTGCATGTGTCTGCACTGTGGCATGCTTTGCTGTAGCTGTCATCCGGTCCAATTGTTAGAAAATGTCATATAAGGCAGGTACGGTCTTGGTTTTCTGGAGAAGTGAATTTTTTTTGAGCTCCAATGCTGTAATAGTCCAAGGCCCAGTTGTGAGAAGCAGTAGTGTAGAATGGAAGTCTGCGGCCCAGAAAGATGAGGGAATAGTTACAGAGCAAATCTCATTTGGGCATACATATACATGGTATATGTAAAAAGAGTTTCCACTTTGAAATTCAAAGTAGCCTCAAATTTCAGTGCTTCTCCTGAGAGCAGATCACGCCCTAGCTCATACAAGATTATCTGAGGACAAAGCTATAATTTCTTCATTCCTTGAACCTTGTGATAGGATTTGAAATGGTAATAAATTGTGCTCTTGTGGCTACTGTCTGGATGTGCAAGTAGGCTTCTTATCTGGGCTGTGCTGAAAACTCGTGTGGTAGCATTTCTAGAACAAGAGAATTAAACAGAAATGCCCTTGTAAAACAGCTTTTCTGGTTCTTTGTGTGCTGCTGTGTGCAGTCCACTCAGGAACTCAAGGGCCCATTTATTTACCTCCTAGACTCACTAACAGACCGTCAGCCAGAACTTACTGCTAAAATATTTTTTTGTTTGAGAGCATTTCTGTTGTACGAGTTTATTTCTATGTATTGTCGCTACAGTTCATATTTTAAACAAGTCTCTCTTCTCTCACTATAGCAGATATTGTCCTGCTGGCTGCAGAGACATAGCAGGTGACATTTCTGGGAATATCGGAGAAGGATACAGAGATGTAAGTACACAGGATAAGGAGGAGAAATTTATAAAGACAGAAGAGAGAAGCGCAATACAACTTGGTTTCAACTTTTGCTGCTTCACTTTTGTCAGTAATTCTTCCCAGCTGTGTTAGATATACCTTTTATTATCAGTATATGAGTATGTTATCAGTATATAAGCACACGGAGACACTTTTCAAACAGACCAATCAGTTGTGTGAGAACAAAGTCTACTGACTTGTGGTTTCTGTCTTTCTGGAAAAACCCTGCATAGGGTTTGTCCCTCTTGAGGCAGTGCTCATCCATGTACTAAATATTCCTACGACTTCAGCTTTTACTTGTTTGGAGTCCATGTGCATTTCTTTTTCAAAGTTATCTCATGTAGGAAAAAAAATACTTTTCAGTAAGATGTGGGTTTTCTTTAAGATTATGCCTCCAGTATCCAGAATCTGCTCTGAGAGGAAATAAATATTATACACTGCCTAATCACATCCCACTGATAACTACCAATCTCTTGGGTTGTTTTAACTGCTCGTTCTTTAAGGCAAAGGCATTGCCTGGATGGTTGCATTTATCCACAGTTAATATCACTTGGTACTCTGCCCTCTCTGTGCCCCTTATCCTGGACCCTCCTCCCATCATGCCTGTGAAATCTTTACATCTCTCACAGTTTAATCATACCACTGAAGCAAAAGCCCACCCTATCACAAATATAGCAGTTGCTGAGTTTCCAAAAAGTCAGTGTTCATGTTCAACCTGTTCATCCAGTTATTCAAGCACACCACTCCTGGCTGGAAAGTGGCAGAACCGAAGAAACAAAGAAATGCCACTGTTACATTCTCATTAGCTGGAGCTATTCCTACCCTTCGTTGGGTGATTAGGAAAGAAAAGCAGCACATGGCATGACCTCATACAGATCTTATCTGCGCTGAGGAATTTTTGAAAGAAATTTTCGCTCCACCGTTAAGGGGGATTCAGCTTTTCTGGTGGGAAGGACCTGTAGGGCTCGGAGCCCTGCAGCCTTTGTGTCCTCACCCCTGCCAGCCCTCCCTGGAGGGGACAGCCCGGCGCCCCAGCTTGTCCACTAGTGTAGCCCACTGTGAACGAGTCCAACCTCTGCCAGCAGCCCCCGGGAATGTCTCCTTTGCACCTTTCTGCTGGGCCTTCTCCGCTCTGTCCTAGCCCAGCGGTACGTTACTGCCACACAGTTGGCACACAAGTTGTCCTGCCTCTATTTTTCAGCATTATCCCACCTGAGATGCTGGCAAACAGGCTATACTCGAAAACCCAGCAGCAGCAGCTAGTCAACACATAACCAAATCCCCTAATGTATGCCATGACTCAAATCCTAAGGCACAGTAATAGATAGGTCTCCCTTCAGGCAAGTCCATCAAGTAATTATTGTTTTCTCTTTGCAAAGAAGAGTTGCCTTGCCTTTGACTTTGTTTTCCTGAGAAGTGACACAATACTTATTAGGTTAAAACCTGACAGCACCTTCTCAGAAGCAGATTATTTGCTTTTTCATTTAAAAAAAAAAAAGGTGACTTTTGGAAACATGTATTTTTTTCAAAGACTACTCTTCTTTCTTCCCCTCCCCACCCCCCTTTATTCCTCTTGAGCCTTTGCTGGATTTTCTGAGCCGTAAGACCTGTATAATAGTGACTTGGAAGTGAAAGCACTAGCAGTTTGTCAGATTGATCCTCTGAGCTTTGGCTTCGGACGACTTCTGCCTTTCAGACCTCGCTGCTGTGCAAGTCGGCAATACATGCAGGCATTATCGCGGACGAGCTGGGCGGCCAGATCAGCGTCACCCAGCAGAAGGGCATCAGCCGCTACGAAGGCGTCGTTGCCAACGGCATCCCCTCACACGAGTGAGTACCGCCGGCAGGGCTGGCTCCGGAGCATCCCCCGGGGCACAGTGCACTGCCCAGATCAGCAGAAGCAGGTGGGGATGCTCTTTCGGGGAGGAAAAGATGTTAGTTGTGGGTCTAGGGGTTTTGGGACTTTGTTTCTACGGCTTTATTAAAATGGTGTTGGCATCGGATATAGGAAAATCTTCCAAGTTTTCAGGGGCTCTAATACCACGTGGGGTGGTATTTTCTTCTTTTTTTTTCTTCTTTTCCTTCTAAAAACATATTTGCAAATTACTTTGTGAACAGATACATGAAAGTACGATGTTCTGCAACAAACACCTTTAATCAATGTGCTAATAAATCATGATAAATTCATGTTAAAGTTTAAAAAAAAGCTAGGAAGAATGAATAAATAAAAAGTGCTGTTGAGCCATAGGGGATTTAATGAACAACTTCTTAAACATTGTGCTTTTGACATCTTCAGAGTTTTTCTCTTTTAGACTATTTATAGCAAGGGTGTTATATTTACCACTTATCTTCTGATTTTTAATTGTACTGTTGTTAAAGTAGAAATCAATCCTCTAATCTCTATCCAGCACAGCAAGCCCTTCCAGCAACTGCCTCTACCATTCCTGTTGGCTTATATTTTTAAATTTTCAAACGTTATCTGGATTTTACATGAGGCGGTTTTTTTGTAGGAAGGGAAATCTCCTCAGTCCCATAGCCTATGAGAGCTAAGGGAATATGTGTTTTTTAGACTTTTTTCCTGTTTTCCCTATGATTTCTCCACATCATCCTGATAATTTTACAGTCATGGTTTCATTAATGAAGAAAAAAAAAAAAGCATTCATTTGGTCTGTTGCTGTGCTTAAACTTAAGCACAGATTGAAATGCTTTATATATAATGGCACTGGAGTATACAAAGCTGGGTAGCACGTAGACCACTAGTGGAAGGCCTGTAAAGCCTAAATATTTTTCATTTTTCTTACACATGTTGCTTGAAAGTTAATTGCCTAAAAAAATTAATATAAACTTGTCTCAAGCAAAGCACAACTGAGAGCTCGGCTCAGGCACCAAGCCCTTCCATAAAACAAATAATACAAATTCTTTCCATCACACATGCCAGCTTAGTGAAACCCTAAATTAAATATTTTATACATTAACTAAAGATGTTACAGAACCGTTTACATACATTCATATGTTCATGACCCTCGAGAATCCCAGAAGGAGTAACTCAGACAGTAGCACATAAAATGTCATAATGAAAGGCAGCTGGGTTTCCCATTTGTATTTTTTCCACAGTACAAGAGCTAGTGGGCAACGAATGAAGCATAGAAGCCAGCAAATGTACACGTGCTGGGGGAAAACACTGTCTGCATAATTAACCCATCACCTTAACTGCCAAGCGTCCTTCCAATGTTGCTATTCACAGACTATCCTATACATTTCACGTGAGTAATGGAAGTACTCACAGAGATGCAAACTTGTCATTATTACATCAAGTGGGAAAACTCCCATTTACTTGAAGGAGCGCTGAAACTTGCGTTTCCAGGCAGCCTCCAGGGCTCGGATTTAGCCCGTTTAATGTGAGTCCCCTGAGAGAGCACCCCAATGAGGAGTGCAGCCCCCCTAGCTCTCCTGTGTGCCGGGGCAGACAGAGGCGCTCCTCGAGCATGATGCACATCTCGAAGGGACTGAATTGCCCGAGGAGACAACCGTCACTTTCTACAGATTATACAGGGAGCCATAGGTAAACGGGCTTATACGGTGTCAGATGCCTGAAAACTAGACGCCACAGATTTTGAGAAAAACTGGAGTGTGAGCACAGCACTTCCTGGGATGCTTCTGCTGCTCCTGGCAGCTGGGACAATCCCAGGAGCAGATGAACTGCTGATGTGAGCTTGTTATTCCGGGAGAGGGAAACCGGAGGATGCAGGGAAATCATTTTATTTCGAACATGAAAAAGTGATCCTAGAAACAGTGGGCCTATTTACTAAGAAAATGAACTGATGCAATGCATTTCATGCTTTAAAAAGGCTTTTGTAAGAGGTATTTCCAAAGCTGCATGACATCCCTGTCCTCGGGATACCTACACGCTGCAAAACGTTCCTGCGGAGCAGCCAGTGCTGGCGAGAAAAAAACAGTGCTTAGACAGCACTGCTTTAGGAGCTTTTTAGACTCCCTTAAATAAAAGCTTACTCAAGTTTTTAAAATCTCATTTATAGTGAATTTCAGTATTAAAGTTTTAAATTATTTAGTGACTTGAGCTGAAATTGACCTCATCAAAGGCTGCTGCTGGAGTGCATCGAGCTGTTAAATATCTGCGTTGTAATGCGATGGTGGAGTTACAGCTCACTCGCTCACCAGCCCTCAAGAGCTGACCTTGGCCTCCCTGACTCCATTTTTCAGTGCGCTTGTTATGCTCCAGCATCTGCGAGGTTTTCGGTTCTCATGATCCATGCGTGGACCTGTACCCGCAAATGCTATAATGAAGATCAAGTGGTTGGATTTATTGGGCAGTCCTGATACCCCAGTACAAATATATGGGGGTTTAACTTTGTAATGTGACCTGGCCTGTGACTATACATCTGCACACATGAAATCATTTGTCTTTGAAAATCAGAGACCGCACGCTCATGAATTGTGAAAGATGAGATTTGGGGTTAACCTGCACTGCTTATAAAATGCTTGCTTGAGACCGACTCAGGAAAAAAAAAAAAAAAGGATTTGATGCTAACAGAAATTTATTATGGGAAGCAGCATCCTTTTTGTGCAGAACTACCAGCACAGGTCTCCCATGCAGTCCTGCCACCAGTACTGTTGGCTAGGCAGGATCCTGAAGGTTGTCAGGAAAATGAGGAGCACAGGGTGATACCGTCCCTTAAAGGACAAAGTGAAATTTCTGTGACGAATGCCACCTGTCACATTAGGAAACTGATGAATTACCACTTACTGAATTAGTTTGTCTTCTTCAATGACTTGCAGAATTATAGCAGAAATATTTCAGCTTGATTTCATAGCTTTATAGACCTTAGAAATGCTAACCTCCTCCCTTTCTTTGCTAAAATTGCAGACCTCTGTTCGAAAGGGATCTTGGTGACTTTTTTATTACAAAGAATTATCTCATAAATAAGTATTCAAGGAGCACTGTGATTTCTGTTTTAGGTAGGTTTTACTGATCACCATGGGGTTTTATTTCCTTCTTTCCTCTTGAAATGGATTGCTTTGTATTCACTAAGAAAGCAAAAATTGTTTTGGCTGTAATGTCAAACTGGTTTGCAGTGAGCAGAGCACATCTGATCGCCCCTGAGGATTGCCTGGGGGGAAGATGTGGGAGGGAGAGCTTGGCTTTTTCCTTCTAGCTACTCTACCGCCTACATGCCCAAATAAATCAGCTCCCTCCCGGTGCTCTCCATCATCTCTGAAGGGCTTTGTTTGCCTGTAGTCATTACTTTTCCCTCAGTGACAAAAAGAAGCAGTGTTTTTATTGACCTTGACATGGGACCACTTTCCTGTTCCCCGTTTGCAGTGCTCTCAAAACATACAGCCTTGTGCACTGCTGTTAGCCCGCAGATGGTACCTTGGGGGGAATTTTCTTGGCCAACAACAAAGGGCAGCCTGAAAGGGAGCTGTCTTGATGCTTAAGTGCAGAAGTTGTTTAACTGCTCAGTCATGCTGGCCAAGGCTTTTCAAAAGGGCCAAGTGATGCATGCAGCTAATCAAAATGACGTTGAAGGGGTCAGATTTTCAAGAAATCCAAACTAATTTCAGGTTAAAACTTGGGCTTTTATTTTTATTAGGCAGCCAGTCAGAGTCGTCACTTCTGGAATGACACCTCAGGGGCATCTCACTGGGAATCAGAAAGTGGCTCCATGGGAGGCCAAGTAAAACTCAGCTTTCCTTTACAGTGGTGATTTTATCTCGTCCTGCATTGCGCAGGATTGTATGGAATGGCCCAAGAAATGGCTTTTCTCCTGAAGCAAAGCAGTCCATGTCAAAAGGAGGAAGAAAAGGGAAGCCATAGATGTGGCCCTGCTAATGGAGCAAAAAGAACCATTCCTGATGGGAGCTGTTGGTCGTGGTTATGACAGAACCGGTTCCCACCCAGATTAAAACAAGGAGTAGTTTTCATTCAGTCTGGCTGTGATACACCCATAGCCAAAGTAGGAAGGGTCAAGAGTAGACATGGTTTAGTCGTTTAGTCACCATCAAGCATAACTGTTTCATGGTGCTTAAGGCTGTATTTTCTTCAAACTAGATGTGGACTTAGACTAATAGAAAGTCACTGATTTCAGTGAATTTGCTCTAACTTAAGCTACTGTAGGTCAGAAGAGACCTGGGTCTGGTGCTGGAGCAGTGCCCCCACCGGTAGCTCCAGGCCCTGTTAGTTTTCCCGTTCCTGGCTCTTTTGATTGCTCTTGTATTGCTGGTCTGAGGAACAGAAAGGCTAAGCTTTCCCACAGCAGTACAGGGCTTGTGCAGAGGAGAAAAGCAGAAGCATGCAGCGAGAGTAAAAGGCCGATGGGACGGGGAGTCGCTTTAAAGCATAACAAAACCACCGCAAGGATTGTCAAGCCTTGGAACAGGTTGCCCAGGGAAGTGGTTGTGTCACCATCCCTGGAGGTATTTAAAAGATGTTTAGATGTGGTACTTAGGGACATGGTTAAGTGGTGGACTTGGCAGTGTTAGGTTAATGGCTGGACTTGATGATCTTAAAGGTCTCCTTCAACCTAAATGATTCTATGATTCTAAATGCTCAAAAGCATTAAAAAACTGATCTGAATTCAGTCACAGTGAGAGATGCACAAGAATGTTCTTACTGGGGTCAGTAACCAGCCAGCAAAGTAAGTGGCTATCTGGCTAGATGTATTTTCCTAGATAAACAGTGATTCTGAAACTGTACCTTGGTACTCCTGTGACTGCCTCCTGAAAGGCTGAATTAATTTTTTCTTTTCTTACAGTGGTTCGCTGTCAGATAAGAGGTTTATGTTTACCTCAAATGGTAAGAATAATGGCTTTATTTTTAACTATTCAAATTTTACCTTTTTATTTAAGTATTTTCTGTGAAAGTTTTGAAAAGTAATCAGGAGAACGTCAGGCTGTGTCTAGGAAGGATATTTTAGGACAGCAATCTTTTAAAATTGGCAAGTTGAATAAAAAATTTGAAGGGATGTGAAGTGAGCTAGAAAAAACCACAAAATAGGAATAGGTCATACACACATAGACAAGAAACAGAAATAGTATTCTGCTGTTACATTTCTGGTGCCAGCATATGAAAAATGGCAATCAGATAATCCCACTTTTATGTACTTTAGGCAGCAGAAAATGAAAGCAGTTTTTCTTCAGACCTTTATGAATTCCATTTTCATTATACAAGAAGAGAATGAAAGCACAGAGAGGAATGAAAATATATTTACATTGCACTGATACAGAAGGAGTTTTTGTTTATGACTTTCAAAGATGCAAAAGCGTCTTTAATCTGTCAAGCGGTTCATTTGCATAAAACATAGCAAAGAGGAGGGAAAAGTTTGCACTCGTTCATTTGAATTGTATTTCAGTCATCTGAGATAAAATCATTTACTATTCCACTGAAAACTGCAGAGCATGTGTAGGCCTTTGAAACTGCCAGGGAATTATTTTTAACTTCATTGAAAGCTTACTCCACTGCCCTGTTTCCTCTGAAGAACCTTGATGTGCAGAAATTTTGTGGGTTCTTTGGTGGAGTTTGTAATACTTACCTGCAGCTATTATCTTCATGATATCACCTCTTGGCAGCAGTATCAAGGACCTTCTCTAATGAGTAACTTTCCTAGCCCAAATTGCAGGTAAGAATCATGAAATATTTACAGTAAAGTGTTCCTTTCAGTACAGTGCCTTCATCTGAGAAATGTTTTGTACAACAAAATTAATTAATGCCAATCTCGAAACATAAATATTAGGTTTCAGAAGGAAAATTTTAAAATATAAGAAGTCTTCACACAAATGAGACTGAACTGCAGAGATTAAAAAACAAAATGGCAAGGAAAAAAATAGCAGATGTAGTCAGCAGGTGTCATTTAGGTAGGAGCTAAATTGGTAAAGGAGAGGGACCACAGCACTCTGGTACTGGATCATCCACTACAGACTGACTGGCAAACACCACAGCTAATGGATAGCAGCAGGCTAGCACTAGATTAAGAAACATCTGACTTTGCTATTGTGGGTGGCCTTCATATGTTGCTAGCCTAATATAAATATATGCTGTGAAAACGCAAAATAACTCCTTCTGTCTGTCTATGTGGGGACTCCTAGGCTGCAATAAGTCTCTCAGCCTGGAAGAGGGATTCCTCTCCAAGAGCCAGATTACTGCATCTTCCTACTGGGAGGAGACCAATGAATTTGGGCAACTATTCCAGTGGTCTCCCGACAAGGCTTGGCTTCAAGTCTCAGGATTGGCTTGGGCCTCTAACCACAGCAGCAATCGTGAATGGTTGGAGATAGACTTGGGAGAGAAGAAGAGAATAACAGGTATGTCACTGGTTATTAGAAGCTGGGGTTTCAGCTGGAAAAGAAACTAAGCGCAGTTGAAACGCTAATAATGCACTAATGCAGTGTTTCATTAAATATAATGAAATGTTCTGCACTGAGGAATATTATTTTCATATTTAAGAAATCATGGATCTTTATAAGACTGATCTTCCTACAAGGATATAGGATTGAACTCAACTGTCATGCATGCCTGCTCTGTAAACATGTTGTAGGCTCAGAACAAAATATTTACATGGGGACCTGTAGAACCTGGATAGATGATAAATGATTGCTTGGGACCTATTAATGATGCAATTATGGAATCAATAATAAACATTAAAATCATAGCCTTTGAAATAATGGCCCAGGTGAAAGAGATTCTCATTTCCAACTCCTGGTTTAGTTGTAGAAATGTAAATTACAGTTGCTGCTAAAGATGTAAAGACTGCTGATATGGACCATAATATCCACAAGGAATTACCATTTTTGGAGTCATGAATTTGAGCTCTGTTAAAAATTCCATTGCTCTAAATTCACAATTTAAAACTGATTTCCATTCTTCACCCAACTTTTAAACTCAGTAACCACCCCTGAATTCCAACATAGATTGAAAAATGAATTAAGACTTTGAAGGCAAAGTTCTCCGAATCGTTTTGGCTTCTGTGTTTCCATTTGCAAATGTTCCTTTAAAAAAGACACCTAACAAAAGAAAGTGTATTTTGCATTTTGTTAAAAGGGATTAAGACCACTGGTTCTGGATCCACTATGCTGAATTTCAACTTCTACGTAAAGACATTTACAATGAACTACAAAAATAACAACTCAAAATGGAGAACTTACAAAGGGATTCTGAGCAATGAAGAAAAGGTAAGGGAAAGCAGGAGGGGTAGGAAAACACAGAGAAATAATGCATACGCTGCCTTGACATTGAAGGGCAAGCTTTCACTGTCAAGAAAGATTAGGAGTTTCAGACTTGTCTAGACTTGGGTTGTCTTCACCAGTGTAATTTACAGCCATGGAGTAGATAGCGAGCTTGTCGAAACAAGGAAGATATCTAGGGCTTGCTGAAGTTGACATACACACACACAGGGAGGCATGTGTATGTCTGTATCCTTCTTTTAAAAAAATGGTGTAATTAAAGCTGTACAACAGGCTGTTTGGGCAAGTCTTTAGCTCAGCTCAGTGCTTGCCCGTGCTAGGGATGCTCTACCAGTGCAGAAGCGTTGGTCAGTATGGCACCAGCAAAGCTGAGATTCAGCTTCAGATGCACTGGGATGGTCAACCCATTCCCCCAACAAGCGAAACAACCCACTGGGGTAAAAGCACAGAGCTGCTGATGAAGCTGTGCCTGCAGATCAAGCTTCTGCTCAGGCTGTGTTACAGTCACCAGGGACTGCCCCGCTCCCCGCCCCTCGCTGGTGGGGCTCTTCTGACACAGGTCTGTGGGCACAGCCTACATCTGTTAGGAATCAATGTAACTGAACTTAAAATAGATGCTCTTACACCCAAATACCTGTCCACACAACAGCTTTCACAGACTCTGTGTGACTTTAAAAATGAACAGATAAAAGCAGTGCAACTAGTTTCTGCAGACAAAAGATGTGCTGCACAGGTTTGTCTGATAACATTTTCCCCTGAAAACTTCGTGTTTCCTTTCAAAGAAAGGAAAACCACCCAAAGCCCTCCCTGCCCCCACAGTGTTCAAAGTCAGGCCTTCACTCATCATTTCTGAGGGACCTCATCTTGCCTCAGGATAAGGCTCTACCTGGTCCTCTGTCCTGACAGCAGTTTTTAAAAACTTGGTAGAGCTGTAGAGAGATTTCCTACTAGCTCCGATTTTCTTAGCTTGTATGGAAAGGAATTTCGCTGCACAACATTAACTGGCTTAAGATTTTTTTAAATGTTAAACTTAAGAGGTGTTGGCCCAAAAAGTGAAACATCAATCTAGTAGTGGCTGAACTGTGAAGGCTAGCTATTTAAAATCTGCTGCTTTTCAGTCTTCCACAATGACTTGTTATTTACAAATAATCTTATGAAAGTATCATATGTGATCTTAGTTTCAGCTAAGGTGCATGACATCAGAACCCTATGTGGCCTGGCATTTTATCTAAAATATCCCTATCTCATCAGGCTTTTAAGTTCTCCTAGATCATGCTGAAGCATCTCCAAGAACTAATTTTGCAAAGACTACTGTTCCGCACATGGGCTGAACTGATTCTGGGAAATACTGTATAAAAGCAGGGAAAAGGAAACACAACCACATAGTTAATAGTCACTCTTCAAGCTTGATACAGAAAACTGACCATTTTACTAAAATGTCTAGAAATATTTCACTTTAATTTTTTTCTTTTCACATTTTTATCCCATGTTGCCCAAGTAAGGGTGCTGCAGTGCTATTAAATAAAAAATGATAGCATTGTACCATCATACATTAACTAGAAATTACACAGAATTGAAATAGAGTGATAATCTTCTCCAAGCTAACAGCAAAATGTGATCATCTGTGAGAACTAAAAAGATTATTTCTTTCCAGAAGTCTCAATTTCAAAAATCTTGCAGCTGCATCCCAGATTATCAATATATTTTAGTTTTAGGATAATGAAAATGTTTAAAGTTGGATGTCAGGAGCACTTTGAAGAAGAGGCTTTTAAAATGGAGCAAACAACGTTCTTACATTTCATTGCAGGTATTCCAAGGCAACTCCAACTCTGGTGACATAGTACGCAATAACTTCATCCCTCCCATAGTGGCCCGTTATGTGCGAATTATCCCTCAAACTTGGAACCAAAGAATAGCATTGAAGCTCGAGCTGATGGGTTGTCGAATAATGCAAGGTATGGGGTAAGCAGCACTCCCCAGGCACAGTGCCTCCAAAGCCCCCTGGGCCACCGCAGTGCCACTGATGCTCCTTTCTCTTTTGCAGCCAATAGTTCATTTACACATTCAATGTGGCAGAAACCAAGTCAGAGCACAGAAACCTCCCTTGGAAAAGAAGACAGGACTGTTACGGAGCCCATCCCATCAGAAGAAACTAACTTGGGTAACACTACCTAGCGCTGCATTTTCTCTAGCATGCATCATGTCTTCAGCCCAGCCTGAGTGAACTTGAAACTTTCTCACAAACCAAAACTTTTGTTTTCCCTTCAGACTTTATTAAAGGTTAACAACAGAGAGAAGAGGGAGGAGCACAGGTTCAAGGCACAGAAAGAGATTGAAAGCCTTAATTTTCCTTGATGTGTGAAACATCAGGCTTTGGGTTCTCTGTCATATTGGTTTATTTGCCATGCTTGGTGGGTGGCTCAAGGGACTATACTGAGCACTTACCAGCATTTTTTTGGAGGAACTCTTCCTCACCCTCTTCCTGTATTTTATAATTTTTGTAATACATGAGACAGTAGTGTCACAAAAATGTTATCTTCTCTCCATGCAACCATGACTCCTCCCAGAGCAGGACCAGAGCAGGTCCCCTAAGCAGCTTTCAGTAGTGGGTGGTTGCATAATTAAACACTTTTCCATAATGCCTGTGTTCACGGGGGCTCAGAAAACCGTAACTTGCATACATCTCCCTGAATTTGCAGTCTTCATCCTTTAATGTTGCGGAGCTAACTTCTTAGATCTTAAAAAGCAAACAAACAAAATTTGTTGCTTATACTGTTTGGTGGACCCATAGCCGAGCAGGAATTACCAGACCCACTACACCAAACACTGCTACCCATTAGGTAGCTGGTAGTTGTAGGAATGTCTCTGGTAAAAAACTGGCTGTAAGAAGCAATCACTGTAAGAAAAAAAGCTCTTCTGAAACTGCATTGCTCTTGCCAAGAGCAAGCTCAGTTCATCTGTGCAGCAGTATGGGTAAATTGTATCTATGTTCACTGAAAATGAGATCTACTGAGATTTCATCTGCTAAATTGTAAATACCCTGTGGACACGTGTACTACCTTATTCTCACAGCCTGCTAAGTGTCTGTAGGAACAGCAAATGGCACACTCCTGACACAAGAGCCACTCCACTGCTGATTTTCAAATCCCTGCTCTAAACCATCTTGTGTTAGACTTTAACAGGGGCTAAAGAGGTTGTTCACTCGCTCCACTCCTGGAAATCTTTGAACTATTTTGACTGAAATGTTTCAACCCGGTCAGCATGAGCCAGAAACTCAGTATGTAAAATTGCAGCCTCATTTGGCAGTTTTATAAGCAACTGAAAACAGAGTGTAAGTGGCTTTTAAAAAGTTACCTAGTGTGTAATAAGAAAGAACTGCTCTTTGTAAGGATGCATATAGATTTAAGTCAAGCGTCAGCCTTGAGAAAGTATATTTAACTCTTTTGTCTCAACACTGTTCCATACAGGTCCACAGCAATCAAATATGGCTGAGGAGTGGTCTTGCAGTTTTATAGTTTTACATTTTCATAATCTCTTGCAAGGAGTGGTCCTGCAAGGTTATCTGCTTTTTGTTATATTCTCTGTAGCAAAAATTACCAGCTTCGGAGTAATTTGCCTTCTAAATTTCTATCCACTTTTTTTTTTCTCACGCAGGCTTAAAGCTTACAGCTATAATTGTCCCTGTCCTCATCGTGCTGTGTCTGTTCCTGTTCTCTGGAATTTGTATCTGTGCAGCCCTACGCAAGTAAGATACCGGTTTTTGTCATAGGAGGCATCTGTGGTTACGTAGCTAGCACATCCAACTCTGTGCCCTCTTTCCAGAGCCTCTTTACCAGGGAGGTGGAAATTGATCCTGTTTGGCAGTCTTCCTTTTAAGTAGAACTCTGTCAATTGTATTTCTTATTGTATATCTCCCCTAGTCAGATACAGACAAAGGCAAAGCAGGTCAGAACTGCACACGCCAGTTTAGAGTCCAACGTAAGTCATATACCCACAAATACTGAGGTGTAAAGTAATGGAAGACGGAATAGTTTCCACACCAAAGCCAAGTAAAAATTCAGTGAAGGAAGGATTTGAGCTATCTATATGGATCATTTTCTTTTATTTCCCACCTGTTGTATTTCTGCTTCCCAGTCCCTTAAGTTAGAGCATTTAACCTAGTGGGCTGAAAGCAGAGCCCAGCTGTAAGGAGTTGCAGGCACACACTCATAAGCAGCTAAAACTAAGCCACTTCATTTCACAAGTCAAAGGACTGGAAGAAGCACTGCTAACTGTGATTCCTGCTAGATGTCCAAAAAATGAAACATCAAAACACTGGTTTGCATGCCCTACGTTCTAGTAAACAACGGCCTCCAGCAACTCAAAGTGAAGCATTGTCCTCAGCTGCCAAACATAAAAGCTCTCTCTACTGGAGCTAAGGCTTGAAGCTGAAATGCTGTGAGTGCAGATGTTTATAAATGCTTTCCTCTCCTCACAGGCGAGAAGCCAAAGGACTCTCCTACGGATTATCCAGTGCTCAGAAATCAGGTTAGTGGAGAATCATGCACTTTGTCCTATCCTGTCCATTGGGCCAATGGAAAGGGATTTCTGCAACAAAGCGTGAAATGCTTATGGAACAGCTTCCACGTTTCCTCGTTCAAATTCACCTCTTCATACAAGGGAAATGGCAAATGATAGTCCCACTTGTGTCATCCTAGCACAGTGCCTTGAGAAACAATATAATTTGGTTTCTATGACAGAAAGGCAATTAGCAAAAGATCTATTATAGAGAGTGCATAAATTAGCATATAAGAGTGCTCCCAGGTGCCCTCCCTTTCCTTCCCTCCTCCAAAATACCTATTTTGCAGAAAATTGCTGCTTTCCTTTTCCCCACAGCAGAGGGGATTGCCTTTCTTCAAAAGAGCAAGGGTTAACAATTTTTTATGGCTTTAATATTTCCATCTTACTGCCCTCCCTGGTTGGGACTGTATTTATAAAGCCTAACAATACTGAATTGTACTTCACATATAAAATCTAAATAGGAGACTGGCTTGAGGACTCTGCTTTAGGAGGTGTGTGCAAAACACCAGTGAAGTATACTCTTTGTCTTGCTCAATAACGCTTTCTAGAGTGGGGTGTCCCGTTAGCTTGAAAGTTGGGGTTCAGCTGTTTTTCCTGGCCAGCCAACTCTATAGAGGAAAATCCTTCTGAATCTCAGCTTTCCATTAAAAAAAAGAAAAAACTAAGCAATTCACGTGTCTCTTGATGACTGCCTTGCGATAGCTCAGCTCCAAAATTTCATCCCTCAGCAGGTGCTGATGTCAGTGAAAGGAATGCTGTTACCCACTGCAGCTCGCCCTCATTAGAAAATTAATTTGTACTTAACATCGTATTTGCTAATATAATTTTTCAAGGTCACATCATAATCCTTTCTCACTTGCTAATGAGAACAAATCCCAAGAAACTGGAGATAGCCTCTTACCCAGTCAGTTCATTTGTTGCATGTGTGCTTCATAAATCAAGCTCCTAAGCCCTTGTGAACCCAGCTTGGGACTTAGAAAGCTGGGAGCTGAACCCACCTCTCCGCAGACCTCCTGTCGCAGGCTCCAGGCAAGTGCCTGATACTGTGGATTTTTTCTCTTCTGTCTCACAAGGATGTTGTGTGAACAAATTAATTGATGAGTGCAGGTGCTCAGATATCAAGGAAATGGAAACCATACTAGTCTACTGAAAAAAAGACATTTTAAGCATTATTTTTGTCACATAAGCAATGACAAAACACGTAACTGATTTAAAGCTGGTATTTTACCGATATACTTTGCTACAGCATCAGTGCAGGCACCTACAGAGTTTGAGCCCTTCTTGCCAAGAAAAGCCTCTGTAAAGTTTCATTTTCACTTGGAAATCCCAGCTGATGATTCACCTTTTCCCTTTCACCCTCCAAATTTAGGGGTCTTTTTTTTTTTTTTTAACAAATATCCCGCTTTAGTCTTGCTTTTTAACTACTTTAATATATTGACAGCAATGAGTACACCAAAAATTAAACTTTCTGATTGTAAGCATTTAACTTGCTCATAAGCCTTCTGTTGTTATTTATCACAGGTTGTTGGAAACAAATCAAGCAGCCCTTCACCAGACATCAGTCAACTGAATTTACCATCAGCTATAATAATGAGAAGGAGACACCACAAAAACTAGACCTGGTCACCAGTGACATGGCAGGTAACAATTGCTCCCCCTGTGATGCCTTCATTTTACTCTGTGTGCAGAGCAGGTAATAGGGAGAGGGATGGGCCAGCAGCGTTACAAACTCCAGCTCTCACACACGCTGAGGCCCAGGGACAGACTTATCTGTGTTCATCCCAGAGATATAGTGAAGCAGCTAAATATATCAGCGGAAAAAAACCCCACTATTTTGGAAATTTTTTCTTGGAATTCTCGGGAAAGATCTCCTGACTCTGAAATAGTTACAGCTGAAGGTAACCACGGAAGGCAGTCAGGCATGGATGCAGTCCAACAATGTGCCTCGGATAGGATAGTTTGGCTTTGCTGACTAATTTTTGTATTTCTATTTAAACACAAATGTCTCTGGAAGTGGAACAAAATATAATGCCCCTTGCTGCTGAGCAGGTAGGAAACTTACCTAGTTGGTTTGTGGTGGGATTTCATGCCCAGCTGGAAGTGGTGCTAAGATCCCTGTGCAGCTTTCCCAGTGCCTGAGCTATTTTGGAGATGAGGCCCCCTGAAGCAGAAGCAGGTAGATGAGAGAGAAGGAAAAAACCCCACAGTGCTTCTCTCTTGTGCTACCTGGGCTCCAGGTCACTGTTTGGATAGAGCAAATCTCTGCATCATCAGCACTATTTGCATCCCAAAGCAATGTTTTTTGTTTTTTTTTAAACTCATCCTCTTAGTACATCTTATCTCTGCCTAGTTTAGTCTGTCTGGAAAGGCTAGTGAGACTAGCCATTTCATGGGATCAGTAATCAGCAATCTTCCAGAAAGATTAATTTGCTGTTTCCAGCCTCAGACCTTAGAAATTCCTTAGAATTTCTCCAATGCTTTTGGCAGAGAAATACACTTAAAAAACAAATGGATGGTTGCTGTAATTCCATATGATGCTACCCTGGATATCTTTCAAAGATGGTTTCAATCCTTTACAGAAATTTGCAATATAAATATGCAGAGGCCTATAAAGCAGTTTTATTTCATGAAGGAAAGGGAGTGAATAAAGGTTGCTCACAAATCATGGTTATCTGGCTCCCCTGGCCGTGCTCTCTCCATTCTCCCCTCCCACCACGTGTGGGAAGTCTTAACTCTCAGTCTGGCCAGGCAGCTCCCCAGCCTTAGCATTTCACCCCCAGTCTCCTCAAAAATAAGAAAAAATAAATAAAAATGTGACCGCAGTCCAGAAATGTGCCATTTAATAAGTTAATTGCAGAGGGCATACAACTTGCATACAGGTTGACATGCTACATGGAATTTCCCCCCACTTTGAATCTCTAGCTGCCAGTTCCCAAAGGCAGCCGGGAGCGAGTGGAGACGCTTCATCCCAAGCGAGGGAGGCTGCTGGGGATGGCGGCAGCGATGCTAGGGAGAGCTGCACCGCTTACTTAGTGAAATATCATAACACCTTCACCCTACATGCTGAAGTCTGGGAAGCGGCCAGGAACTGCCAAAAAGATTCACAGGACATATGGGATTGAATTCGATGCTCATGTCAGATGAACCGCGATGCCAGAACAGAAAGTGAGCTAACTTCTTCGCGCCTGCGTCAAAACATGATACTTTAGCAGTGTCATTTACTCGAGCTGTTCGGGCCACCGTAAGAGATTGTCACTAGCACCAAAGCGAGAAAGTTAGAACGCTGAATTTTCTCATAATAGTTTTACTGGATTTTTTTTAAAACCCTTTTTAGTCCAGATCTCCTTCTCACACGGCAGCCCGGCATCCGCCTCGACTAGAGGTGCAAACACACGTTTCCTGAGGCCGCGTTTCCTCCATCTTGCTCCTTGCTCCTGCGCGGGCTGTTTGCCCGTCCCCAGCTCCATCCCTGCTGTCCCGCTTGACCAGGGTGACCGCCCGGTTCTTCCGGCAGCACCGGTCCCGCTGCTCCTCCCAGGGCTCGTCCCCCCTCACGCGCCCGCAGCAGTGCTGAGCTGGCTTAGCACATTTCACACTTCCCTTGACTCTCTTGGCTGCCGTTCCATCTAACTTCATTCTTCTTGTCAGTCAGCTACTGCGAGATGCCTTTTAAAGCAAGCCGGCACTTGGTCGAGCTCGCTAAGAATCCTCCGAGCATTTTAATTATTCCAAAAGTGGAACACATTTGTTTTGGAGAACTTCTCATTTGTGGATCTTCATGCAATGTCCTTTGTCCAGTTTGTTGCTAATATTTTGTTGACTTCTCTCTTTTTTTAGAGCTTTTGAGTATACTTCAGAAATTATGTTAATTTATTTGTGTGGGTAGGAGGGGAAAGGGATGGAGGGAGTAGGAAAAGGGGTGGCAGATTGTAGCTCCTCCGTGGAAGAGCTTCTGCCATGTTCTGCAACACTTGCTCGCTGAAGGATGTTACAGGACTGGCACTGGGGGCAAGGTTTCCTCACATTCCCAATAACCACATGTTTGACACAATAACCAAGTCATTTTTCAACATAAAATACTTATCAATGCGTAAGTATTGAACACAAAAAATACTCCATCTGTGCCTTATTGAGCAGTTCATGCTTCCTTTTAGATTATCAGCAGCCTCTAATGATTGGGACTGGGATGGTAACACGGAAAGGATCTACTTTTCGACCCATGGACACCAAAGATGAGGGAAGAAGGAGGAGTTCAGAGTTTGAAAATCACTATCACTGTCCACACAGAGCTAACCGACACGAATACGCTCTGCCCCTGGCCAGCCAAGAGCCCGAATACGCCACCCCCATCATAGAGCGGCACATAGCAAGAGAAAATAATTTTCCCTCTGAAAATGGCTACAACGTACCTGTTGTCTCATCCCAGAAACACTCCCTTTCCGCCAGCAGCTTCTCTAGTCCGTGTAAGACCGATACCAGGAATGGAGACTATCAGACACCCCAGAGTGTCGTAAAATACGACAAACCCAAAGTTAACGGTGTTCTGACCTCCGTGAGCTACAGCACGGACTACCAGAAACCTCAGCCCAATGCCCTCGGGAGCGAGGGTTACTCAACGCCCAGAGACTGCCTAAAACCAATCAGCCAGACAGCAATGACAGCTCTCTTGTGATCTGCCGAGCAGGAGAGACGCGGTGCGCACGAACGTCGCTGCACAGCTTTCTGAAGTGAAAACAGAGTTTGGAGGGACTCTGCTGCGGGAGGCAGAAGGCAAACAAGCCCTGTGTACATAATATTGCAGTCTTGCTGGGTTCTGACATCTGAAGAAAGCATATGCTGTTTATCACTGTTTATAGCAAGAGAGATGTTATCAGTGAAGACTGTACATCTTATTTTCTGTAACTGATCTCAGTGCTCCATTTGCAATGCGTGCAATTTGTACATAGCTTTTATTTAAGGAGAATTTCTTAAGTTTCCTTTTCACCTGGGGGACTGAAAGGACTGCAGAAATGCCTATTTAAGAAAAACAGGCATCCTTCTCCATCTTTATTTTACCTGCTCTTGTGCTGGCAGCTGTAAATGATGTATCTTACAGTTGTGGTGATTCATCTCCTTTCCTACAATAACTGAAGACAGGGCATCACTGTAGTTCTTACTGGGAGGGTAGAAGAAGCAAAACCTCTTGAAGCATAATATGCACAAGAGAAGGCAGCTGAGCATTTAAATACTGTGTTCAAACCCACCTTCCCGGCTGCTTTTTTAGCAGCAGTTCTTACACGCTTGAATTTGATCTAGCATATCAGCTGAGCCTGTCTAACTTGCTATTCATGTTGGAAATAGGTAGAAAGGCTGAAACCAGTTTTGGGTTCAAGCCATGGTGATCACTCGGCAATAGAAAAAAAAAAACAAACAACAGACCCAGCACCTGTCAATCTGTTTTCTTCTAGGAAGTGTGTGTGGAAACAAAATGTGAATTTACAGCTGAGAATTAAATCCTGTTCAAGCCCTAGCTGATGCTTTTGCTGCTACACTGTAAGGAAATTTCTTCCTTGGCACAAAGCAGCAAATTTCGTGAACTCTTCATTGCTCCACTAGGTATTTTTCTGTCTTACAAATTTAGTGTAACATTTCTATTTGAAATATTTCAACTAAGTAGAACACAGTGTGTGTATGGCTTACCGTTGCAGTTAAATTTGCAAGACAGCAGATCAGCACAGTTGTTTTCAAATAGCTTTTCTTTTGCAGCTAATGTTACCCTTAATTCTGTTTTTGGACAAACTTGAAAAAGCGTGGGGATGGGTGCAATGTATCGCACAGTAGCTGGCTCCTCTTTCAGCAGAGGCGTCGTTGAAGTGAAACGGCTTCTGGTAGCGACTGGGACTGTCTGCTGCCCTTCGACACTTCTGCCCTAGCGATGTACTTCTGGGAAGGAAGAATGGTGCTATATTTAAAGCACAAGGTTGGGAAATGAGATCAGTAAAACCTGAGCTCTGGGAAAGTCGCTATATGAAGGCCCTCCATTTCCTTGAGTGTAAACTGGGGATAATTTGCAAAGGATGCAACAAAGATTTGTAGTCTGTTCGCAAAGTGCTGTCAGAATACAGACTAGTTGCAGTGATACCACTCATAAATATGGCTAACTCCAGCCATATCCAACCTTAAGGCAAGCTCTTAGTGGGTTCTTTCCATACACTTGTTTTGTGGCCTCAAGCGGTGCCATTCCCTCGCGCTGCCGCACCGTGCATGCAATTCCCGTGCAAAGAAGAAAGAGTCAAGGTAACCTCGTAGCCTTCCTATGTTTGCTGTCAATACAGTTTCTGTGAAATGTCTAAAACACCTCAGGTCCTGAAGTGAAACAGCAGCAGCCTGTTTGTTAGACTGAGCTGGGCGGTGTTGTTTACCTTCTGTTGTTTACATGTCTGTGTAAATAAAAAACACTGGTATTTGTAAATCAGTCACACAAGCCTGCTACTTAGCTCCGTGACTTGATCATCGCCGCATGCCCACTCTCGTCACATATCCTGCAGGGTGAGAAAGAAGCCTTCCTTACGCCCTGCAAAAGTGCCAGATGCGCTGCTGTAATTCACGGTCCCAGTGCGACAGGCTAAAAAAAGATTCTCTCAGTGCCCCATTTAGCCCAGCTTTTCTGTCCATAAGCTCTAGAGAAGAAGCACACACCAACAAACGACTGTGCCCAACCCCACTGCCGGATGCATATAATTGAGGAAAGGATGAGGATGCCTACCCCATGAGCCTGAAACCAATACTCCACCCAAACAGCTAATTAGCCTGACTTGTCACTTTACAAACAAGTAATCAGGGCTACTCCCCACCTAATGAGGCACCTAGATAACCCAGCAGTGCAACAGGACCAGGCAGCAGATGACACTGCTTGTATTATAATAAACTTGCCGCATGCCTCTGCCACATGCTTTGCACATCTGCAGCATGCTGCAAGTGTCAGAGGGTTCTTGGTAGCACGTGCCCATTTCTGCTGCTGTTCAAACCCATCTTAACACAGCTGTTTTAGCCTAATGAAAAGTTGGGTCTCAATATGCACCATGCCTTCATCCCCACCACCTTCAAAAGAACCCTGCAAAAAGATGGCTTAAAATAAATCCCCCAATGTCTCCATTCTCCCTGTGTCACAGTGGCTTGGTGCTGACAGGGACAGAGGCAGCACAGCAGCTCCGCAGTCGCTCACAGCTCCCGGTCACTGCCGTGGTGCTTCATGGTTCACGTCTGAGTGACTCCTGAGGGCAGTTAACATAAAAAGCCTTGGGCTTCTCCACCTCGGCCAGGGAAATAGGAAGTTTTTAGTGACCCTAGCAGCAGATACGCAAGGGAACTTCCTGCCTGTGTAGTCTCTCTATCCTGATGGTGGTGGAGATACTAAATCCTGGCGTAGGAAGGAAAGGGGACTGCCTGAACCTTCCCAGTGGTAGTGGCTCATTCTCATGCTCCTCCTCTGAACGGCTTCTCACGTACTGGTACACCAAACTCCAGCTTGTCTACATCAGCCTGTTCTCACCTTTGATCAAAACCAGTCACAGGTATAACACAGGCAGCCTTATCAAACATCACACATTTAAAAATCTTCCTTCCACAGTGAAGGTTAGAGTATGCACCATTTTGAGACATTTACACACTTGGAAGGGCTGCGTTAGCTCTGGGTCTCTCCAACGTCCCTAGAGATTGCGTGAGAGCAGAGTCTGACCCTCTGGTCAATGGAGACTTTCAATAGTGTTTCTGTGCCAAACTTCTTTCCTGAGCAGGCGCTCCCAGTAGGCTGGGATGGTAAAACCAAGTCAGAGTTCACAAGAAGGTTAAATATTAACTGATGATAGCACTAAGGGCCTGTCTGTCCCAGCTGTCAGCAAGCCTCTGACTTTGCCAGGAACAGGGTTACACACTGCAACTGCACATGTCTCTGACCAAGGGAACTGAATAAGGCAGCTCTTGAGGTAAGAAAGTGTAAAAGATGATGTACGATACCTACAACTGAAACCCAAAAATGACAGCTTATCATGCGTTCCCAGCTGGTGCCTTATATTTTAAAGCCAAACAAAAAAAAACACAAAAAACAACTACAACAAAAGTTCCTGAAACACCACAGCAAAAATATAAAAATGGTCTTTGCTCTCACCTCCTTAGACTGGGAAATAGATTGCGAATTCTTATTTCTTCTGTCAAGTACCTTTCCAACGAGCAATAGAAAAGCGCTTTTTTTTTCCCCCATCAAGTGTAATTCTAAATAGCATTTCCCTATTTCTTTCAGTTTCTAGAGTTTTAACATCAGATATTAAACCCTACCTTAGTACCTACCAGAATCCCTATATCCAACAGGCAACAGATTAAAATCAGTCCTTGACTTGCAGACTGGAACTAGGATTTCCGCAGCTCAACCGATGTCCTACTCACTCATAGCATCACCTGCTCTCTTTCACTGTCTTTCTCTGGATCAAGCACATGGCCTCACCTCCCTCTCCAGACACCATCCACAGGATGGGTTCCACCAGCTCAGTAGCCCACTGGCTACAGCAGTCTCTGCATAGATAGGGGAAGGCAGGAGAAGCACCGAGGCCAACCTGCATCCCCTGCGCCTGATGTGTATTGTAACCACTGAGCTAACATGGCAGCAGTCACAGCAGTGCCTCTAGCACCTGTGTGGTTTAAAATGAGGGATCCCTGCTTCATTCTTAAAAAAAAACCCCATGAGGCTGGATTCCAGCCATAAGAAGCAGGTTGTGAATCCCATGGCTTGTCTGCATTACTGGCGTGGCTAAACCCTGGGAAGACTGAGCTTTTAATGCAGACTTTCTTCAGATTTTTCCCACCGACTGCCATTTGGCAGTTCTCCACTCCGTGGGCAGATTTTAGCGGAGCCCTGTCTGAGGCATGAAATATTCCCTACACAGGATGGGAATGTCAGGCTGTAGGTCCCATTACAGGAGCAGACACCTAACTGTGCTTATCTGTTTGGTCAATCACTATCATTAAAGCACATATGATTTTTTTTTCTTTCCTATGGTGCTGGAGACTCCTATCCCATGCAGACATATGGCAAGGATTGCTGCACCCTCCCCACCGCCGTTCCATCACTGCCAGACTATCTGGACACATTACCAGAAGCTGAGCTGCTGCAGGACTCATCTCCATTGCACTGGAAGAAAATGGTCTTGCAGCCATGCAGAAAACTGCAGAAGGCACCGGAGGCCTTTCAGGGCTCAGGCAATCTAACCTGCATCTGCAACACAGAGCAAACCAGGTGACCAGTATCAGTAACTGGTAGAGCCCGTGCCTCTGACTTACGCCGGCTGTGGAATGGGAGAAGTGATAAGGGAAACCCCCAGGTCAGCTCTGTTGTGGCATCCCCAGTGAGTCCCAATTTTGTATCGCATAATACAGCAATCATCTGACATGAGGACTGGCTTGCTATTTCTGAGGGATCTAAAAAACACAGCAAGGAAGCACTACTGCCATAACAAATTACACCATTTACACTAAGTTACACTAACATCCTTTGACATTAAAATGGAAGTGTTGCATTTCGGCAACACCTTCAAAAACGTGCATATAAATTCACCACTGAGGTAGTTAATAAAAACTAAATGAAGTGCAATTATTTGTGTCCTGGCTTTTGCCAAAGGGAAGGCAAGCCAGTAATTTTTC